ATATTTTTATTTTTTTTATAGTAGTAGACTGCAGTGTACAGATTTTATTGGTATAATTCATTTGCCTTCATATAGTAAATTAGACTCGATAAATTAAGTTTCCCTTAGCTGCGGCGTATATACCGGAGTTACCCTATATATAAATATGGTGAAAACACTTATGAAAACACTTGAAGGACAAAATTACTGTGCATGTGTGCGTATGTGTGATTGAAAAGAATTGGAACGCAAAAAATTGTCACTTTTTGTGTAATAGATCTCGAAATTTTTAGGGATCGACTGCACCGATTTTATTCACTGGTCGCAATCAAATGATTATATATCGACATCATATAAGATTTCATTATATAAGAAAAGTGGTTTTTTGTAAATGGTGGTTTAATTTCTGAGATATTTTACTTAGGCTACGTTCGGGGACCGCGCTATTAGCGCTATTGCATCATTCTATCTTTATCGTTTATCAGGTGTAAAACAAAGATATATAGAATAAACAAATAGCATTAATAGCGCGCTCCCCGAACGCAGCCTTAAAAGCTCGTTTAACATAAGGATTCCGAATAAGCTTGGGTAGCGCGATGTTTATGTGGGAACATAGTCATGTGAACAATTGTCCTTTTCATGTATTATTGTACTCACGACGCTGTAATATGTTGATTATTTTTAATGTCCTTTTTTTGTTTCTCAGCGTGTATTAAAAAATACTTGATTCTTTTTTTAATTTTTGAACTTTTAAAACATGTATTTAAGAGAAGTCGATCTTTTTACCCCCTCTCCAGATAAAAATATTCTCCTACAACCTCTTTCAAGTAGTGTTACATGCCGTGTTACATATTATTTCATTTTTTGGATTTTGATTCAAAAAATCTGTTCGATATCGTGGGGTCGCAATAGGGATCAGGACGGTGGCGGTGAGTCAGCGAGACAAGATTTGGTAACAAAACAATATATTCTTAGTCTAAATTATGTACATTGTGTTTGCGTTGTCTTAGGCGGCGCCTTGTAGACGCCTAATCAAAAAATATAAGTGCTAATACACGGTTTAAAAGTTAATTTGGCGGATGGCCTTCTTTGCAAGGGGCTCAGAGGGGACCGAGTTGTTATTGAGGTCGATTTTAGAGCCCGGGGTGCGCGGTGGTTTGTCCGTCGGTTGATCCGGTGGGTCCACTGGCGATGAAGGAGCCAGGAAAGCTCTCCTGAGCACCGTCTGGCACGCTGTGGTTCGCGTCTCCTTGACGCGGATCAGGTGGAGGGCCGGTGGCCGAGAGATGCGGCAATCCCGTTTCGGGAGCGTCACTCCGGCAGGCCTGGTGCGGCGCACCTCCGGGAGCTCCAATGGAATGAGCTTCCACGGACGTATCGCCTGTCCCTTGTCTAACTCTCGTCTCGTCGCCTGCCGCTCCTGTGGCACTGGCTGGTTGAAAAGACGAGATTTCCCTAGGGCCGGTGGCTCTTGGTGCCGCTCCTGCGACACCGGTTTAGCGGGCTCCGCTTCCTTCGTGTGCCGCTTTTGAGGTACCGGCGGGTAGGAGAGGCGCTTCTTCCGTCTCTGGCTCCGCGTCCTGGTTCGGCACCTCTTCCTTCGGGTCGCTGTTGGAGTGGGGCCACTCCGTGCCTCCGCTTTTACTGTGCCGGGCCCGAAGGGGGCGTCCGACTTGGAGGGGGCCGCGGTCTCCACGATGGCTCCACGGGAGTGCAATGAGCGGAGGAGAAGTCTCTCGACGCTCGATAATTACTGCGCGGAGGAGATGAAATCTCACTCGACGCGACAAAAGATATAATAATTTCGAGTCTCTCAACGCTTTCTCAAGGCGAGATCGCCGAGTATAGCGGTAGGATTCATAGAGATATAAGAATAGAGTGCGCGAGTCATATGCTCGCACGTAAGAGACTGCGATATAGGAATAGAAAGAGAACGCTGCATATGGGCCCCTGCTGTCTTTATCTATGCACGCATGCGTCTTTGCGCTGCTCAGTGTCTATAACGCATGTAGAGATATAACCTATAATAACGCATTTATGTTCTAACCTCTTGAACCCCTTTGAAAATATGTCCTTAAATAATAATTCCCAAAATTACCAAATTATTACAGCAAAGTACATAGTATTACCATAAAATATTACTTTTTTTTGAATATGGAATTGAATATGGAATTGTATATAAATATACTCAATATATATAATAATAAAACAAAATTTATTACATGTTGTTTATACAATGTTAATCATAGAATAGAATAGAATTCTATTCAGTCTTTTATTATTTAACACAAAAATTAAATTTTTTAAACACAAAGATTAAATTCTTTTAACACAAAAATTAAATCTTTTAAATCAGTCTTATTATTTAACACAAAGAAATAAAATATAAAAAAATAAAAAAATAAAAATTTTACTACAAACAATATAATATCAAATGCACATTATTAAATATTTATAAAAGTATACAGTTTTGCTATTGTCCACTGAAAATTAATTAAATTTTGAGGTTAGAGATATTAATATGTACTTACGTGTGAAAACTACAATTGGAATTAGGAGATGCTTCTGTTTTACATATCAAGCATTTCTTTGTCATTTTAAAATGTTTTTGCTTAAATAAGAAGAAGGTTAGCTAAAAACGACATAGAGATAGAACGAGATAAAACATCGAGAATACCGAGGTACAATCTTTCATGACCTGCACATCACTGCACATGCGCGCATAGACAAAGACAGCAGGGGCCCATATGCAGCGTTCTCTTTCTATTCCTCTATCGCCTTTTCAGCTCGCTTGCGCACTCTATTCTTATATCTCTATGGTAGGATTCGATGATGGTCTGTGCGCGGCTCGCCTTAAATTGCTACTTGAACGTACTTTAAACGCGAGTAAATGTACGTGAGCCGGCGACGCGCCGCGGCGAGCCGCGAAATCTGATAAGCGCGTGTTGGCCGGGCGCGCATCCGTCAGGCGCGCGCGGCCCATGTTCGACTTCTCGAACAAAATCGGACGATGATTTTTCATGCAAAAATAACTGCTCAATATTAAACGTAGCACTTATATCATGAAGTCTTACTTTTAATACCTAATGGAATAAAATACTTCGGAAATAACGCATTTCTCTAAAAAATGTTTTAAACAAAAGTTGTTTGGTTTTGAAAGAGATAAATTACTTGTTAGTTAAAGAGTATGTTTTTTTGTTATTTACATTTGCATGGAAGCTTTACTTATATATATAATACAATGTTTATTTTTAATTGTTAATTTTATTGCCGTCTGGTTACTTTTATAAAGAAGAATTGATTGCTGTATAAATAAAAGTAAACAGATATAAATATATCCTTATAGTATAATATATATACGATACGGCGATACGATTCGTAACTTCATATACAGTTGTATCGTGTTTTAAATTCAGACGAATCATCAGAAACAGCATCTCATCGCGGGGCGACTTTTTCTGACGAGCAATTAAGGGATTTGCAATTAGCTCTTTCGCTCCTACCTTTTCCCCTCCCCCTCCCCTTTTCTCTTTCTCGAAGAGAGAGTATTCAACACGCGACGCACGTCTGCATTTAATCTCGTTAGCTAGAAACCGTGTGTCAGTCTGCATTTCAAATTAAATTACACTCGAACCCCTTCACTGGTGTGCCCTTGCTTACCCTCCCGCTTTCCTTTTCTGCCATTCGTTTCGCTTTGGCCATCATCGATTTTCCCTTTCATCTCCGTTGATATGAAGGGGGGGGGAGAGGGATATGATAAAAAGAGTTAAGTTGGGAGAATATAGAAAACGAATCGTTCGATCAATATCGATCAAATCATTGAAAATAAAAGATGGGGAAAAATCGATAGTTTTCAATACTTCGAATACTTAATCTTCATCACAATGCAGTTTGCCTCTAGGAGAGATTAAAAAACGATCGATTAACTGTTTTTTTTTTCTATAGCATGATTCCATATCTCATGTAAAAGTATTGAAAGAGGAAGAGAACGAGAACAATAAATAAATTGCGACCGGGCACGTTGGCTGCGAATAAAGATAACTGCACGCTGACAATGAATATAATGTGGAATTAGAGACGCATTGTGTGACAAAGCCGGCGGGATTTACGGCCTCGACACCCGAAAGAGACGAAGATTTCCGTGTCGGTGACAAAACAAATCGCTGAAAATTCGCGATTAAACGTTGAAACGATTACAATCGCGCAGATATGGCGAATTAATTCTGGCAACCATTTAATTAGCATATTTATATATATAAATTAATATTTGCAACTTGTTTGAAGTATAATATCTCAGAAAACACATTATTTATAATTTACAAAAGAAATTTGTCAGTTATTAATTACTAAATTTAATTATTAATTATTAATTATAGTATTGATGAAAAAAGTTTAATTTAGATAAAAACGTTGCAGTAAGTTATTTCACAATAAAGGATATAATTTAGATAAAAATAATTTAAATTGTTGCTGAGATTATTTTTACAATTGAGATTATTTTACATATTTAAATTTATATAATAATTGATAGGTGATAAATAAATTTATTACTTGTTAATTATTAAATGTATAAAATTAAATACAATATATAAATTAATCTCCAGCAACAATTAAAATTAAAAATAATCGAGATTAAACGACCCATTAATTATTCGGGAAGTACACCTACCTATAGCATATTACGGAATTAAAATTAATTCCGTAATATGCTATATAGGCAGGTGTACTTCCCGAATAATTAACAATACCCTATATAGTCTTAATTAATCAGAAACATATTACATAGTTTATGAAAATATTTTTATAATATAATAACATTCTATATAACAGATAATTATAAATGTAAGATACAATTAAATAAATCTATCCCAAAAGTACGCTTCAGAAAGAAGCTTGTATATAATCATAACTTTAATACTTTTTTTATAAAACTATTTATTCTGTTCAGACATATAATAAGTTTATTATTTTATTTACGTTGTATATCTATTATTAATATGGTAATATTTTTTTCTTATTAGAGCGAGGAATCGCTTTCATCAGAAGAATCGGCCACTTCGGGAGGATCTTCAAGATCTACAGAAGATTCTGGCAGCGAAGTGGCTTGCGATATTACCCTAATCGAAAGGCTCATACGCTCTCACCCGATCTGGTTCTTACCGGGCATTCAGAGAGCCGGGGCCTTTCACTTGTTGCAGGGCAAAGAGGAGGGGGTAAGTGTACACTTACATCATAGAATTTCTATATTCTTAACATATTAAAATTAAACAAATTCTTATTCTAAGTATTTTTCTTCATTCCCAATTTTATTTCAATAATATATATACAACAATAATAAAAATATCTTTGAACATGCACGGTGATATTTTCATTCTTCATATTCTATGCATTGTTAATTCTTATTTTTGTTTTGAAGTAGTGTGGGAACAGCAAGAAATAATACTAAGAATATAAAATTTAGAAGTATAACTAAAAAATAGAAGTATTAGGAAGAGAGATTTGAATATAGATTATTAAAATAAGAAATTTAAACGTGTGTCATACTGCATATTTGAGATAAGATCTCGGATAAGATGGATAATTTGAAATAAATATCATTTATTAGAGAATTGCAATTCATCTTTAGTGGATACCATGCATTTTTGATCGGAATATCTATAGGTATAGCATGAAAAGTGTAAACCCGCGATAAGAAATTTGGACATCATTAGCATGAAGTTACTAGCTCATTTTTCTCAGGTTCTTTCATAACGTGAGAGAATTTCTTCGTGAGGCCTTAGTGAGAATTCGTCTTGCATATAAATGAGAATATTATGTAATCTCGGCAAAAGAATATATTAAATCATGTTTGTAATATATTACAAAAGAATACATTACAAAAATATTAAAATGTTATACCTAAATTGTATTAATAACTTACTTATTATTTACTAAATTATTACGTATCTATTATTACAGAATTTCAATATTAATAATAAGTCTAGTGATTGATAGCTAGTCTAGAGATTGATAGCTAATCTAGTGATTGATAGCTATAGTCTAGTGATTGCCTAATTCTATTTTCATGCAGAATAAGCTCCTCTCTCCTAGCAAGAAGTTCAAAATTATTAATGAAACTATAAATAGTTTTATTAATAATTATTAATATAAAACTATATTATAGTTTTGTTAATAACTATCTATATTAATATTATTGCACAATTTTTATACTGATTATTACACAGTAAAATGGTGAAATTTTTATTTACCCAATATTCGCCTTTATCGAATCATAGCACAAAAGACATTAATATAACAACGCAAAAATTGCAAACAACGCATTTATTTTCACACATAAAATTCACAAACATCTTGCAAAAGTTAAAGTATGTTTTTGCAAAAGAATAATACTCTAAAATTTATATGTATATTTGCATGGATATTTGATTGTAAAAAAAATTTTTTATATAAATATAAAACATAATAATTACAAAATTAAAAATTTCAAAACCCAGTATTTTTCTAATTTTTATAAAAAAAAATTAATTTTTATTATTCTCTCTTATTCTCTCGTTTTTATTCTCCTTGTGCCAAATATTATTTTTCTGAATGGAAGGTCATTTCCTCTCAGCACCGTTTTTTTCCTCTATCTACGTATACATCTACTGCAACATGCCTCGGAACAATGAGCGTGAGTATGTCGGCTCATATCTGACATGCCGCCGCACCGCGCCGCACCGGGCGGCTCGAAGAATAATGGTGTTCTTAGACACACGGAAAACCGTGTCAATGCCTGACGACATGCAATCGAAGTTGTATTAGGAAAACCCTTTACATATCCGGTGTCTTACGTAAATCTAGATAGCAAGGTTTGATGAAGCGCAAAACTCGTTATTTACGGACACATCGTTTTTCTTTAGAATGTGACGTTAATGCGTACATAAAAACGTCCTTCCACGTGTCCAAATTCATGAAACTGCAATTTATAATTTTTTTTTTATTAAACGTGTAATAAATTCAGCACTAACTAGTATGTTTTGAGATTAATTAATATTCCCTTTTAACGCAAAGATTGACAAAGTAAATTATTTTCTTGGTATAATTTATATCTTGTAGTCGTATGCACGTTAAATGATTTCCGAATGTTCTTTTCTAATTTATTTTGCAATAAATTTGGGATTTTTTTTTTATTTCGAGAGTACTTAATTTAATAAAAAATATCTTAGGCTTAGACTGATATTGTTAACTTTCTATTTTTGGTCATTTGCTGGTGCAATTATGATAATGCATATCGGTGTACGTAATCATTCAATAATGCTGACATCTATTTGTAATATTTTAGGCATTGTAGTTAATTAAATATATATTTATGCGTTTTTTTATTCAAAATTTCTATATTTATTTTTCTATCTTCACATTTTTAAAAATAGAAGTACTTGTGCAAATTATTAATCTTACTGCACTAACTCCCAATTTTAATATTAATTTTCTGCTAAAAAATTGGTAGGGGTAATAAATTTTAGATTAACTTAATAAATCAGCATTGAATTTTATAATTGTATAAGGGAGCATTAAAAATAAAATTATAAGAAATATTAATAAAAGAATGTATATATCTAAAAATTTACCATCAAGATAATGAAAGATTCCTTACTAATTAATTAAATAAATTTTTGGCTGCATTATTATATAAGAGTTGAGCGAGAAATAAGAGCAATAATTACGAATATTGCAAAATATATTTTTCGATGAGATTAACAAAAGAATCGATTAAAACATAGCGGTAAAATGTTTGCCGTCTTCTCTCTTCCACGTTAACTTTCTTTTTTTCTTTTTTTTTTCAACGTTGTGTAACAGCGCGTAGAAGCTCTACACTGTAATCAGCGCGAAAATGACTGCGAACAAACGAGTGATGGGCACCGCTCTTTTGCCATTGTTTCTACCGACGGGTCATTGTTTTGCACCTTTCTTAATCGTTCTCCGTCATTCCCATTTCTTCGGGGCCCTTTCGCGGCCTCATCGTCGCTTCGAACGAATTGCACTGTCGAAAAACAATGCGCCTCGCAATTACTTTCCATAGATGAGAGACGGAACTTCTTTTATTTCTCTGCATCAAAACATGTAACAACGATTGCAGCGCAAACGCTTTTGCCGTCAAATCTTGAATTAGAAAAATCTCGATTGTTTTCTTCTTTTTTGCTTTTCCTTTTTTTTGTTTCAATTAATTCTTATTTTAATTAAAATTTATTTAATTAAAAAACTTTTCTCTGATTTGTTGTCCCTTAAAATTGAAAAATAATAAAAAGCTGGTATATATATGTGGGAACCGGGAATTTTCCGCGGTTGGCAGCGCCGAGAAACCGGA